TATACGTGATAAGAGGTTCCAGTGAATTCCATTATTGAATCGGACGTTAATTTAGGCCCAATAAAAACTACTCCAGATTTAAAAACATTTCCACTATAGTATCATGTGTGAGTGTACACAGGTAGATAGTAGCAATGATTATTCCGACTGATCAATTTAATAAAAATATTTTAATTTCCGAAATATAAATTATACAAAGGTTCCAATGACAGACGCGTCACGACCTGTCCTTTTGATGCTATAAAACTTTTAAGTATTGAGTAAGGTTTTAATTCCTGGAGATAAAAGACTTCGACTCACATTAGTCTTTAGTTTTAGTCTTACAACTTGACCTTAAGAGCTGACTACCTTAACTCGAACATTTTTCAATTCAATTCAATTTATTACTCCGAACAAAGTTTTTAATTTTGCTTGTGTCGAGCAGCAGGGAGCCATTTGAAAAATGTATATCGTATCGTGTTCTATTTAGTTCAGTTGATATAAAAAAATAATAATTGGTATAATGTGAAGTGCATATTGAATACAGCGTTTTTCTTGTAAAATTTCGAGGTAAGGTTGTTTTTTCTATTGCGAAAATTTTTAGGAATCATGTTTTCACACCATACAGTAATAAGTGTACTCGTATATCCTCAATTTTACTATTTGTGAAAATATTCACCAAATCTTTTTGATTCAACATTTTCACTGTTATGCGGAAACAACCAAAAAGTCATTTTGTATAGACGCTTAAGGGTTAAAAGACTAGTCGTGAGGCGCTAAAAATTAGTCGAGTTTTTTTTAACAGGCCTTAAAAGACTTGAGTCTTTTTCGTCACTAAATCAAAACCACGTAATAGGTGCAACACCTATTTGACTTAAACTTTACAATATTCGCTGAGTATTTGGAACAAAGGCTACGTAATTGCAATTTCTAAACTTTCTCCACCTCGTGGACTGTAATAACTGCGCATAACAAACGTATGCACTATCACGGGTATAATTGTACAAAGTTTCAGCCAACGCATACTAGGCAATTATTATAGTTTGCTAGGGACAGAGTTCGTCCAATTATACGCGTTTCGTACTATTTTGTATGCAGTAATACTTCATTTGAGAGACCTATAATTCCTCAAGCGTCATTGATTACGCTCGTATTGCTTTGTAATATTAGATATATATTCAATTCCCCTGTCTGATCTTTCTATAGTCGTGATTTCCATATTATTGTCATACGATTCGCCTCATTGAGCACCCTGGTCGTTATTGTAAGGAATTTACACTATTTTTGTTTTATTTATTTAATTTATTTCGGACACCCAAAAAGTCATACACTTAATACATACAATTTTCATTTTATAATTCAAATGGAGTAGTACTAGTGTTGACTCAATTAAAGGTTGTCACCACATGCAACAGCCTACACTATTACTTAAGTATTATCTTTTTGATATCTCCGATATCTCTCTTTTGATCTCAATTCTCCTTCTCATTAATTTTGAAGCTGCTCGTGGACAGCGTTACAGCAAAGGCAATATTTTTATTTTCTTAAACTAAACTGGTGCCCCTCAGATCTTTGCGATTTAAAGCTCTTGAGTGGCACTGCAATTGTTATGGACAGGCGTGTAACTTACCACCGGGTGCACAACTTGTTCGTCCCGTCACTTGATATTATAAAAAAAATATATAATACTGAATGTATTTCCATGGATGACAAATCCCGTGTAGACATAAGGTTCATTAATATGACTTATTTTATTTTTAATTTCCTTTTCATTAAAAAGTGTTATGTAGTAAACAAATATTGTGAAAATAAAATAGTTTGTAAATCGTATGTAGCATAAATTGGAATGTTCTTTGGTAAATTAAAAATACGATAATGAATCACTTTTGAGAGTATAGTTCAGAATAAGGTTGTTTGCATAACTTACAAGTTACTTAGTTAGACATAACTGGTTAATGATTTTACCATCTCAGTCAGCCGTGGCCATGGGTCCTGTAAAGAGCTTGAAACGTTGCATTTGTTTAAAAAACGCAACAACGCGATTTTTGATCAGAAAATATAGTTTCATTTTCAATCTGTCAGTACAAATTATATGATTATCGTAATATTGACACTGTTCTTTGTAATGTAATGGAATATAGATCACCGTTGTCTTTAACGTCATTAGCACGAAACGCTTTCACAAACATTCAATTAAATGCAGTCACAAACAAATTTCGGTAATTACTCCATATTTATAAACACTAAAATTATGCATAGGAATTAAAAGTACATTATTTACTCGTGTAAATTATACATTGCCCGTACCGCATATGGCACAAGGCTGTCTAAATTTATACTTTTTTAAATTTGCATACGTGCAGCATCTTTCCGCTATTCGTAGTCGGAAGCGTGCAGATTTAACAGATTAAGAATTTGCATTTACTATGCTATTCATTATTCGTTGGAATATAATGTTAAATGTTATAATGTGTTGGAATGTAATGTCATACATATCTAGTGATAACTAGATATGTATGACTTATAAAATGCCGCAATAAATTATGACATAATAACTTATTGTCTTCAAATCTATGTGTTCATCAAAGTCCTTAAGAGGGAGCAGAGGAAAAATTCGTAATCTTCGATTTGATTTTAGAGGGGTATATCCACTTTAAAGTTAAAAATAAAATATTGTATGAGTAACTACACGATATATTCAAGCACACACATTAATCAGAAACATAAAACAATAAAGTTTCCTCGATAGATAAAAATCACGAAATGACCTCTAATTTTCACATTTTTTCGATTTATCCTCGAAATGCTACAGGTTATTAGGACAAAAATTTGATAATTAATTATATTTATGCATGATCGACAACTGTCACTACGGATTTTTTTTTAATCCCTTTAGTTTTAGAGTTATTCCGCTAAAACGAATTTGGTACTTTTAATGCGCAAAATTCAACATCTCCTGTCGCATGTCACCCGAACTTCAGGCATATATTTGTTTCACGAGTGTTTTAATGCCTAATTATGTACGGACAACGGCACATCACACAACACATTTTTGTTCGAAAATCGCCTCCAGTGCAACGGAACAATATACGTCAATGTCTAGCTTGATGTGCTGGCGTGTGTTCATAGACTGCTTTATCTATACACATATTATAAGCTCTCTATGACGTGTTCAGGAACCGCATGTTATGACCTGCATTGCGGCATTAATCAGACCTATCAGCAGTAATTATTAGTAAAATAATGCAAAACACTTATTTCTCACGCATGTTACACAACCGTACTTTTTTAGACTAACTAGAGTCAGCGTCAACTATCATATCGTCCGATATCAAGTAACGTGTGAGATTTGTCAAAATTGTTTGCTATTGACATTTCATTTCGAATAAAATTTCATCTCGACTGATATTAGAATTGAGGTCGAATCAAGTTGTATTTGTTTTTCAGAGACGTTCGAAATTTGAAAGTAATAATAAAATCGAATTTGATGTTAACTCTATGCAATAATAACATTTTCACAGATAAGAAATTTGTTCTAACAAAACAGTTTATCTTTATGCTGGCCATTGACTTACAATTATATGGACGTCGGGTCCGCGCTAAAAAGTGTCCGCACTTGTAAGGCGCTAAATTCGTATACAGAGCGCTAAACTCCGCTTTAGTCTTCATTTGTTCGACTGACAGCGCGATACTGCGATGACATTACAATTTAAATTTCGAATAGGTTGACTTGGGACATTTTTTTCGTGGTTTTTGTATTAGACCCGTCGTCCATTTATTTGTAAGTCAATGATGCTGGCCGTAATTTGCGGTTTTTGAACACATCATAGAGGGTTTGTGATATGTGTGTAGATAAACATAATAACCTCGCAGGGACTGTATTACTAACATCATATGTTTATGATGTTAGTAATAAATAGAACTTTTGTTCCATGGTTTTTAATAATTCATCAAATTTTACGTTCATACAAAAATATAGCAGATATTACAACAAGTGCATAAAACGCGTCATTTACCCGAGAAAAGTACATCCACCCGAGCCGCAGGCGAGGTTGGATACTTAAGTCGAGGGTAAAATGGGTTTTATGAACGAGTTATATACTCTGCTTTTCACTTCGATTGCGAGGAAATTAAACAGCAATATTACAAATAAACGAATATTTAATTAAAATTGAATGTAAAATTACAACAATTAGATATATTTCATGTGATGGTTTTTTTTATTTTATGCACTGGAGCATAAAATTCTATTTTATGCACTAGAGCATAAAATCCTATTTTATGCAGACTGCACCCAGCATAAATACGAACTTTAAAAGCATGAGAAGTAAAAAAGTATTTAGATAGATTGTTCTAAAACGGTGATAACTCTGTGCAATCCCAAGAGCGCGGGAGGGGGGGGTCATCGAGGAGTGTCTATGGCACCCGGGACACAGGGTTTCCCTAGTGCGGGGCTATGTTGAGTGTGTGCGTTGTTATTGTTATTATTATTATTATATTTTTGGTAAATTTATTATGTTTTGTAAAAAGTCAACAAAATGCAACCGGTAGCAATGTGTTTCTATCCGAGATGTATCCAAATGTGACAAAATAATGGCAATCGCAAAAAAGTGACAAACCAAATCGTTTTCTCAAAAAAATTTTCCTCGTGTTTGTTTAGTTTTCTCACAATTTGTCATTTTTAGTTAAAAATTAGAGACAAAACTATGAATCAACGTTGAAAATTGTCGGATATATATTGCTTATGCAATATATATCAAAGATAATAAATGTCTTGATAATTTGGAACCTTGGGGCTAGTATAACCGTTACATTATACTCTTCGATATATCCATTAATTTTCTTAAGGCTTGTTATATACAGGACGATTTGCCTTCACGGTCTGATTGAAACGACGAATCGATTGTGTGTGTATATTTATGTCGTTAACGATTAACTTGAGCGATAGGTGAGTAGCGACGGAATGCACAATAAATTTATTCCATCTTCGAAACTACAGCTGTAGAGGTGCAAATACCCACCCTCGGGCCAATTGTCGTAGACATGTATCGCGATGTCCCCGGCGGAGTCGGCCGGGTTGAACACAAACTCCTTCGTCTTGCCCGATACCAGGATCAGTCGCAGGTTTATCTGTTAACAAACAACAAAATAAATTACTCATTATATCACTCAAAACCTAACTACGGGTCGTATTCCAGAACTCTACTCAATACTCAAGTCAGGACTTGAGTATTGCAGTAAGCACTGAAAATCATACTCAAATCCTTGCCATTAGGGTCGTATTTGCAGTGCTTGAAATCATACTCAAGTCTGTTCAAATCCTGACTTGAGAATTGAGTAGGGTTCTGGAATACGACCCTAAGTGGGTAGTGCAATTAAATTAATTATCCTTTCTTACACGAGATGAATCGTTTTGTCGAACAAAAAGATTTCTTTTTAATTTGCAGATTTTTTTAAGCTTCTCCATATATTTTGTTATCTAATTGGAAGTAATTGATACGAGGTTATCGGAAGGTATGCAAAGAAAAAGTAATTGCGTTATTTTTGCAAATCCGTTGTCATAGGATGTCCCGCTACGTTTATCGACAAAGCTAAATACAGAATAATCTAGCAACCATGACCTTAAGAGTCAAATACGCATGTTCATATAACGAATCGTACTATTTGATATAATGGCAAACTCCTAAAAGTTTTTTTATTTTATTTATTTATTTCCAAAACTTAATCTATATTGTTACAGTTTATCAACCTAATGCAATAAATCAACAAACTGTCCCGCTCAAAGCAGGACGTATGGTCACGTTACTAATACCCCTAGTAGCATCGGGTTGTATAGCATGCCTCTGATTACTTTCACCAAGTACTTTGCTAACGCTAAGTTACCTTAACTCCCTCGTTTTTTTTCCATAGCAAAACTGAAGCAAAAGTGCCACATCAATCGTGTAGACGGGGGTAAGCCCACACATTCTGAGTTTATTAACGAAACACGATACAAACAAACATGATGCAAACAGAAACTATTGAAATTATTAAGTGATAGGATCTCTCGTTCACTCCGTGCACTAAAAGTTAAGTAGTCCAGTGTTATATCTAGGGTATGCAGTATCGGAACCTTTTTGATGCCGGAAATGAGTTCCGATACTGAAGACTTAATACCGGAAGCGATTCCAGAACTGGTAACTACTTTAATATCTATTTTGTTTCGAGGAAGAAAAGCAATTTGTATATACGAAACAAACCAGTTGCCTTTTGTTAATACATTTGAGCTACATCACAGTTTTATTAACTTCCGTGAAAGCTAATCGATCCACCAGTCACTTTCCAGTCGCGATGCGCACAACTATTTTAGAACATATTTTAAAAGAAAACCTATGAATTGTAAAAGGGTGATTTAAAATACACGGAATTAAAATAAATTGAGAGATTAGAGACAAAAGAACCAGTTTTACTAAATTTTACAACGTTGGAAAGGTAATAAAGGAAATAGACAACAAACTATAGACAACAAAATAAAGACGAAACGTTTAGGTAAGTGTAAATTGTATAATGGTTCTAGCCCGATGTATTATTCAACTGCCTCCGTGGCAGAACTGTTACCATGTAGGACTGCCACGCAGAAAGCAAGCAGTTCCAGGTTCGATTCCCGGGCCGGGAGAAATATTTGTATGACCTACATTATTTCTCTCGTGAGTTTGGGTGTCACAAATTACACACATACACCGTTGTGTATGTGCATTACCGAAGCCACGATCACAAGTTCGGCCACAAAATTTGGCCTCTAAATAAATGGCGTCCGAAATAGACCAGAACAATTCTCGTAAATAATTTTTTAAACAGTACTGGTTTTTACAAACTATTTAAACCCTTTTCACGTAACGCCTTGCTCTTGCTAACGTTATTGTAAGGGTCTGATTGAGCCTCCGGTTGATGTAGGTACATGAAAAACTCAAAGCTTTCTGTGATTTTAATTCGGCTTGTTGAGTGCATAACGATTCGTTAAGGACTACCTCATGCCATAAGCTGACTTTATAACAATACTTGACTTCTTGTCGGAACACGACCCCCGCAATATGAAACAAAGTAAATAAAATGATAACAAATCGATATTACTTTGAAAAAATGAACATATCAATTACAGTATTGTGCCATTCAGTTCTGAAACCGAAATATCGAAAAAAAAAAGAGTTACGAACCTCCGTAATGGTTAGCTGGTTTCCCTTAGACTAGAGCTAAAATTCAAACACAATAACGCCATCTAGTGGCTATGTCATGTACTAACAAATATATTATATTCAAAAAACTATGCAAAGTTTCTATGGTCCATAATTACAAATGCGTGCCATTTTGTGGGCTGTGCCGGCAACACGGTATGAAAAATAAATCCAATGTTCCAAACTAAACCAACATTTTTACTGCAAGGAAATTCCGTTTTACAAACGAAAAACGTTAGTGCCGCCACGATGAACACAAAGATTTGTTTTTATTGGTCCGTTTCGTGCTTCGTTGTCGTCTATTTTCGTAATTACCGCCAGTATCTCTAAATTAAGCCCGTCACACACACTGACATGGATTAACATGACAAAACCGTAAAGATTGATTCAACTCGATTCAGCCGAAGAAGCTCATCGCATTAATATGTATGGAGAGGCGATGACCCGGCGAAATCATGCGAAGTTATGCGGTGCTGCTTAATGCGTCTTAAATGAGATCATAACATGACATCATTACATCACAAATAAGAAGAAATTAAAGATTTGAGACATGTGCAAACGATGGTGTAAAATGTTTTAGCTATGTATACTAATCTATTTATAACAGAAAACAACGAAAATAAATAAAAAAAAACAAATAAAATACTGAAAAAAAACAAAAATTCTAATGAGCCGACCCTGCCAGGATTCGAACCTGGAATCTTCTGATCCGTAGTCAGACGCGTTATCCGTTGCGCCACAGGGCCTGTTACTAGGATGTTGAAAATAGCCTACTCATTGTGTTTCCTTAAAACGTGTTCAAAATAGATTCCAGTTGTTTCAATATTTTATTTTATTCTGTTGTTCGAGTCGAAACATAATATATACAATGTAAATTTTGATAGTAAGTTCATTTCAATATTTTTTAGTTATAATTTCAATAATCAAGCAAGGAAATTAACTTTATTAAATTAATTAATTTACAGATTTTCTCGGTTGATTCGGATTTGTTCAATTTAAGTAGATGAAGCAGTAGCAAAAACAAACCTTTCCGCAAGTGACTGTTATATTAAATTTTTAGAACGTTTCTAAAGGGAAGCGAAAACCTTGAATAATTTACTAAATGTTTGGAAGTTAACAAGGTTAGCTGACGTACCAAAATGAATGCACGGAAGTAGCCCTGCTATACAGAAAATATCTTTATACGTAGAGTAGGATTTATGTACTTCTAGGCCTTTCCGCGATACCCCTGGGAGGCCGGGTCTTGCGGCAGCCATATTTCATTTTCCCGCCAACCGGGGAGCCATCCGCATTTTTATTCTTGCATCACAAAACGTAACCATAGGACGCCAATTTTGTATTTCTGTTTATTTTTATGGATCCGCGTTTAAATATAATAAACCTCATGTTAGAATTTGTTAAGTATTTATTATAGAAGTTATAGTCAGTTTTAGTTAAGCAAATATTACAGTCATTTTATTGTTGTAAAAGTAAGTCTTTGTGAACGTTTCACAAAGACACACTTGTTAAACGAAAATTTTAAAAATGAGTGATTGACATTCTAGTGATTTTGGCGCGTTAAGAATATTGTGTTCAGTGAATATATTAAGTAATCAAGTTTTAAAAGTAGACTGTCATTGTAAAATATTTATACTTGTAATTGTATAACTAAACATAAACAGTGAAGACAAATTTAAATACGATACTTTAATAAAAGTGTTTGCGTTAATTGCATTGTTTCTGCATTTAAAAGAATCTCACTAAATATCGACACAATACGTACATTTAACAGCATTATTTCTTTTTTAATTAAATATTATTTAAAAAAACGGAACCCTTCTTATAAACAATAACAATAGCTTTTAGTTGAAATAATATTACTGAGGGGTGCGTTATGGAGTGCAACGAGTGTATTTCTGATATTTTCTTATGGGGTCGCGTTTATTTATCGTCCAAATTGTTCAAACAGACACTTTAGCGCGGGATGATTCACTTCTACAAGTCACCAATTTATATATGCAGCTGAATAAACTGTAACTCAAAGGTTATTCATTGAAAGTTCAGGTGATTCAAGTGTATCGAAAAAATAGTAGCGAAATTGTAAAAGAATGTGATATGAAATATTAATTGTCAGATTTTATTCTCCCAATAGAAGAGATGTCTCTGTGAATATTTATTATACTCAGGTATGCAATGAAAACGTTTATTATTAAACTCAATATAAAAACTAAACCTATAAATATCAATAACAATGCATAACTAGGGTAAATGCACAAGTTTTCGTCCGCAGTAATCAATTTCATAGCTGTAGTGTCGTGCACAGGCGGATAGTTTGCGGACTAGTGGCGACTTCCGCACCCTTTACCCTGCCCAGCTGCATTGCGGAACTAATGCCTTAAACTTGAATCTGATTTAACATACTATAGTCCATTTGTTTAGGTACTTAACTAAATGTAAATAATCTTGATACATCTTTTTATTGAAACATACTTTACAAATCAATAGGTATAAAAATAGGCATGCAATGTCATATGAAGCTTAGTATTTGTATTTTGTATTTGAAGGTAAGTAAAATACATTTTATAAATGTATATTTCATTTCATTAAATACACATGTCAAGATTGTTTACATATTGTTAAGTACCTAAACAAATGGACTATATTTTAGACAAACTTCATTTTTGGAAATACGCCTAATTTTTATCCGACTGTGAAGTTCCTACCTACAATATGGATGCTTTTTTTATTTAGTTTTACGGCATCGGAGTAAATCCATTAAGCCAATTGTTCAATGATGTCCTTTTTTTTAAAACCTGAATACAACATACTTTCTCTTTTATAATACTTTGGCAGGTATTTTCGTGAATGACTTGATTCATATCTTTTCAATGGCGGTAACAATACTTAGAGCACTATAAGCAAATATTAAAATGTTTACTT